CATGGTGATAAACTTCCGTGTGTGTCAGATACCACTGTATCAGATAAAAGAATATTTTTACATCATAAAACTTCTTGAAGTTCTTGAAGCGCTTTGCAAAATGTAATTGATTAGAAATGAAATGAAGATTATAATATATAACACTCTTTCAAAGAGCCGGCACAGTCATGATGGACTGAATAGCCTCCTTCTGCGGTGTATAATTCTATGTAGGTAAGGCAGATGGAACCTAAAATTAATAATAATTTGAAAATCTTGACCATCTTGAAATTAAATAGTACGATTGCATGTAACATAGAATGCTGTAATGTAGGCAAACACAGCTTTCGCTGTGAATATTCACTGACCTCAGGAGGTTGAGTATTGAGAAAGGCCAATAACAGTGTATTATCACAGCCAAAGAGCTTTTTCTCAGTTCATATGTTACGTTTTAGATTATGCAGGGAGAGCATATTGCAATTTGAATTAATACAGGTCCTAAAAATGGGATGGAAATGTCCTGAAGTAATTATGCAGCAGCACTGAAGACAAGAAACATTTCAAACTCATGGAAAATACTCTCTTTTGATACTTGAACATAAATATTTTCAGGAGGGCTGGAAGAGGGCATATTTAAACAATTAACAGATTAGCATTTTTTTAAGGGGCCATAAATGGGTTCGACTATGCACTAAATGTATGGATTAGAAATGTATTCACTATTATCAATATCAGGTCAAATTTGCTTCAGTTTAACAAAGCCAGTTTCTACAGATCTTGAAGAAAGGACATTTGGCTCAAGGGAAAACATTCCCTTCACATGGTGAATAGTGGAGGAATAAGCATTTAAGATAAACAGGCAAAATTTGTTTTTGTAGGTAACCTCTTGTTACCATTGAGCATTTTGGCTTTATCAGATGAAGTATTCCACATTTATTTCAAACAAATTGTTTGACAACTGTTATAATGTAAATAGCATTCTTTAGACATTTAAGGTTGTAGGTTCGACCCCCACGTCGACAATAATGTCTAGGTTAACACTCCAATGCAGTACTGGAGGAGCATTGGTTGGTCTGCCTGAATGTTCAGGTGGATGTTAAGATATCCCATAACATTATTTGAAAAGATTAGGGAGTTTCACATGTGTGCTGATCAAGTGATACACAGTCCCTACACTTTACACTAAAATCCTGTGAAGCTCTTTGAGACGTCCTCAAACTCAAACCTCAGTCATCCCCCTTGGTGACATCATTCGCAGACATGGGGTCAACTTCCATACGTATGCGGATGACACCCAATGTATCTTTCTGCCTCCACCCTCAAACTCAAACGCAAACTCAAACCCACCACCTGCTCTCTCGATCCCATCCCACCTCTCTCCTCATCTCCCAGCTCCACCTTCTGGCCACACTCCTATCCGACGTCATCACCGGTTCAGTTCCCACCCCCTAAAAACAGCCGTCATCACCCCCATCGTGAAAATACAGTCCCTGGACCCATCCCTCCTCTCCAGCTACCACTCCACCTCAAACCTCCCATTCCTCTCCAAGGTCCTGGAACGAGTCGTCGCGACCCAGCTCTGCTCCTTTCTCTCTCGCCATTCTCTCTTTTGAACCCCTCCAATCCGGCTTCCGCGCTGCCCACAGCACAGAAACAGCCCTGAGCAAAGTTACTAATGACATTCTGAACATCTGTGATCAGGGCTCCCTCTGCCTCCTTGTCCTCCTCGACCTCTCTGCCGCCTTCGACACTGTCGACCATTCCATCCTCATACACCACCTCTCCGCTTTACTCAATCTTCATGGATCTGCCCTTGCCTGGTTCAATTCCTATCTCTCTCACCATCTCCACTTTGTTGCCTCTAACAGTTTCTCCTCCAGCCCCCACACTGTCACATCTGGCGTCCCCCAGGCCTTTGTCCTTGGCCCTCTCCTCTTTAGTATCTACATGCTCCCCCTTGGTGACATCATCCGCAGACATGGGGTCTACTTCCATATGTATACGGATGACACCCAACTCTATCTTTCTGCAGATGATGTCAGCAAGGGAGAGCATGTAGATACTAAAGAGGAGAGGGCCAAGGACAGAGCCCTGGATGAGGGCATATTTCCTACAGTTGAATGTGAACAAGACTGAGGCCCTCCTGATTGGCTCGTGCCAGCGCCTCTGCACTTCAGGCTCTGGCAGCATCAACCTCCATGGTTGCTCACTACAACTCACCAAGTCAGTCAGGAACCCAGGTGTCTTGTTCGACCCTCAACTGTCTTTTCTTCTTCACATCCAAGCCATGACCCGCTCTGCCTTCCCTCATCTCACTAACATCGCCTGAATCAGCCACTACCTCACCCCTCAGGCCGCTGAGACTCTTGTTCATGCCTTCATTACCTCCAGGCTCGACTATGCAAATGCCCTGCTTGTCGGCCTTCCCAACTCCTCCCTCCACAGGCTGCAGATAATCCAAAACTCTGCAGCCTGTGTCCTCTCCCGCACCAAACTCCGTGACCCCATCTCCCCCATTCTTGCCCAACTCCATTGGCTCACTATCCTTCAGAGGATCCAGTTCAAGATCCTGGTCCTCACCTATAAAGCCCTCCATGGCCTAACTCCACCCTACCTCGGCTACCTCCTAACCCCACCCTACCTCTGCTACCTCCTAACCCCCTACCAACCTGCCGGCTCCGTCCCTTCAGCCGGCTCCAGCCTGCTCCACGTCCCCGACCCACTCACCCTACCATTGGAGGGAGAGCCTTCAGCAACTCTGCCCCCAACCTCTGGAATTCCATCCCCCAGTCACTCCGCTCGCCCCTTCCCTAGCCTCCTTCAAGTCCTGCCTCAAAACCCTCCTCTTCGACCATACTATCGGTCACCCCCCTTCCCCTCCCCTCCCTTCTCCCTCCCTGACCCCAGCTCGGGTCTAAACTGCTGTACACTGTCCAGAGCCTTGGGAAGTCCTTGTTGTTGTTGTCATCGTCCTTCCAACACGAAACGCGCTACATCAAATCCAATGAATATTATTATTCGATATGATACATGCACGTAAAGCAGTGTTATAATATCAACCACATTTTGCCAGATCAATCGGTCATTCGCTGTATGTGTGGGACCTGGCTGTGTGTGAAATGGCTGCCAAAAATGGTCAGTACTACACGTGACTGTAATTACCATAAATCACTTTGAGACTTTCGACATATAAGACACTATAAAAATGCAAGATCTTTTTCTTTCTAATAAAAACAGATGTCTGCACTCTTTCATTCACTTGCTCGGGGCCTATTCATCATTAAAGATAACGAATGGTTATTCCGAATAGCTTCTATGTTTTTTTCTGAATTTATATATACTTTTGATACCCTGGAAGGTTCTTGGGAAATTGGTAGAGAGTATAATGTAAAGATTTGGAAATTACTAACTGTTTGTTTGCTTCTTCAAGTTGTTCAACTTGTTTGTTTGCTTCTTCAAGTGTTAGCAAGACATTCAAAGTCGGTGAAAATCAACCAAATTCTGCTTTCATTGGACAACACAGACATATTCACATATATTCATTCGCCGACAAAATACACAGTTGCTACACTTTACAGTAAAATCCCATGAAGTGTTTTAAGACATCTTTGACAGAACACGGTATATCAAACGCAAGGATTATTATTATTTATTATTATTTGATATGATTCATGCATGTATAGCAGTGGTATAATTTCAACTACAAAATGTAGAAAAAGTTAAACAGGAACAGGAGGAGGCCATTGAACCCATTGAGCCTGTTCAAGCAGTTTATTAAATCTTGGCAGATCTTCTAAACTCAATGCTTTACCCTTTCACCATATCCTTTAATACTACCCGAGTATCTGTCTTTCTTGTTTTTAACATTCCAATTTATTCCACCTCTCTAGCTTTCTGGGACAGAGCATTCCACATCTTCATTACCTTCTCTGTGAAGAAATGCTTCCTGACCTAGTTTTAACCATCTCAGTTCTGAATTTAAGGCTATGTCACTTTGCAGTGGATTAAGTAAGATTTTCATCCACCATGTGTTAAGATCAGGTCTCTTAGAAGACAAAACAGTTTATCATAAATCAGAAGTGATGGATTAAGGGTTGAATGATTCAGGTATTTGCCTAACAAAAATAAATGTGTTTCTTTTCGCTTATCACACTACAAGATACACTCGTGTTGGGAACCAAAGACGTTGGAACATAGAAAGTCTAGGTATGAAAGAGCCATTTCATTCAGTCTCATTACCGGTCTTTTCCTCCATATCCCTTCAAATTACGCCTTTTGATATATCTATCTAGTTGTTTCTTGAAAGCCACTGTATGGATGCTGCCTCAACCACTGCACTAGAAGAGCATTCCACACAAAACCAGCTCTCTATTTAAACATATTCCTCTTAATCTCCCTTTTGCTCCTTTGGTATATTTTCACCATCATCAGCAACAATTCTCCAAGGCCAGGGATATACGATGGCCAAGAGTCATTAATCCTAGTTTGTTACTCACCACCCACCCCACCCTCCAATTTCGATATATTAGGTTTCCTTTTACCCTCATATATACTATTCAAAAGGGGGAGGGTGAATACATGAGAGGTTCTTAAGCATTTGTCCACTGTACATACTCCATCTCCCACATAAATGTACACACAGAAAAATACATTATGTGTATGCATATATATTATACATATTAACATGTATTTAAAGATTGAATATTTTAAAGAGGTGAATGTTGAATCCTCAGTAAATGTTTGCCTCCTCTCGATTAGATTTGGATCCTCTGAGCTATTTTCCCAGGAACTTGTGTATGCAGGGAATCTGAGCATGCTCCACTGCTCTGACCCCCTGCTTCAGGAGACTGCTTGAGATAAAGGCTGAAAGTACTACATACAAAATGCAGACCATCAGCAATGGAAGCAGGTATACTGAGCTGCTCTTGACATACACCAGCTGTGAACCAACTGACCTGTGGTCAGCAAGTGAGATTCACAACAAAGACCTCAGACCCACAAATTAAGCTCGTAGCAGTGAATACTTTCGCATTTTTTTTATTAAAGCAATAATATCTTTTACAAACAAATTGTGAATAAAAGATAAGGGAAAAATATATTTATATAGATCCACTTCAGTAGTTATAATATGATATACAATGCATAGAATTATTTATAACATCCTGCAGCTTTGCAGATTTTCTCTGCTCAGGACACAGTGACCTAAGCTTGAACTTTTCTTTCTCTTGCCACTGCATTTCATGGTCAGACATTCCTGGCAGTCTCCAAATTACATTATGAGGAAACTGCTAATACCTTGCTTATCCTGCTTGCCCTGTGCCATGCTATGCTGCTTTTACAGAGTACAATGGATTTTCTATGCTGCATGGTAGAACTCCCACAGTTTACACACCCAACCACACTGATTCACTCTGTTGCAATCTTATATCCTGCAAGAAAAAAAAGTTTACAAGGATACGCTTTTAAGCAAGTTCAGTGTTTGTGCAGAAGAGTTTTACTTGTGTTTCAATAACTTGTTACTTTATTACTTTAAATACACAAAGATGTTTGTCCCTGGAGCCTGGGCTTGTGAAGTATTAACCCCATCCATCAGTCCTCTGTAGCCTAGAGTTCAGTCTTGCCAGATGGGGCAGGATTGTTGCCTTCATCAGTCGAGCTTTGGCCCGTGGGTATAAAGGATAATGAGGCAGAGTTTATACAATACCGTTTACCAGTTGGACGGGGCCCATCATCAAAGACATGTCCCAGATGTGCACCACACTGAAATAAAATAGCAAAAGTAATTGGTTTCTTGTAACATAAAGGATGTTTTAGATTGCTGTTATATACCCTACATCATTCATCACAAGGTAGTAAACTCCAGATAACATCTAAATATTCCTTCTGATCTAACCTTTCACCCTTTAAGAGTAGCTATTTCTGTACTATGATAAAAAAAAGTAGTCCTTTTAGCGACATGATAAAGGGTTGTAGTTTCAAAAGATATATATCACCTTTGCCACATTAAACTGACATGGCCTCAACCTGACTATTTCACATGATTTTAGCCTAATGAATATTGCACACCTGTGAACATATGCCAACTCTACGGGGATGCCGAGGACAAAAAAACACCCATCGAAATGACAGCATAAGTCTGTCAGTACAAATTAGAAATAATAAAGACTCTTTTTTAAGGCTTTCCACTTTTAACCGTTGCTATTGTACATACATGGATGCCTGTCAAGCTATAACACGAATGCTGCAGGCCGAGATTGGGCTGCATGCTGGTGACAGACAATGATGCTATGTTAAAGAGGAGGGAGCCTGCTTTATGCAACTATGGCCCTGTCACTTGTGTGAACCCTCAGCTGCTTGCCAGGATCGATCTTCCTTTTGCTGCCAGGCAGGCAAAAATAATCCTTATATCCCTCGACACTTTCCCCCCAGAATTTATATTCTGTCCTTGATCAGTTACAATTCAGATTGACGCATTCCAATGCATGTGCAGCTTTAATCAAGGCTTTTAATTGGTTCATTTAGGTTCAGTATTGAATGAATCATTCACTTTCTTGTAGATTTTAACTTATTTTCTTACTTATTGGGGAAGACAAGCTTGTGGGATATGCTCAATGGTTCTTTCACACTCAATTACTGGTGGAGTATATATTGTCCATGGTATGTTGCATTCTAACCACAAGTAATGCTCAGACTAGATTACATCGAACACTTCACAGTTTAAAAAAAAGCAGAATGAGATTTGCTGCTCTGAGTAAAGTAATATAATATTTGTAACAAAAACAGAGATCACTGGAAACACTCAGCAGGTCAGGCAGTATCTATGGAGAAAGTAAAGTGAGTCAATGTTTCAGGATGCTCCGACGAAGAGTTGTGGACTCGAAACGTTGACTCACTTCCATTTCTCCATAGATGCTGCCTGACCTGCTGAGTGTTCCCGGCGACTTCTGTTTTTGTTTCAGATTTCCAGCATCTGCAGTATTTTGCGTTTTGAATATAATATTTGTGCTGCAAAGCTAAGGAATGTTTTCTCTATGTGAAAATTCAGGAAGATTTCAAGCAGAACGAAACCTTTCCTGAAAAAAACAAACTTGTAGCATTCAGATTTTTTTGAAGGGTGTGTGTGGGGGGGGGGGGTGGGGGGGCAACAAAACTCAAGGTAGGAATTTCATCAAAATAATCCTAATGTTAAAGACACTTCAAAGGTCTGTAGCTTTGGGAGGAAAGGGAGTTTATTGCTGATAAACTATTTTAATGAATTATCATTCAAGTAATATTAATCAATATCTAATAGTTACGATCATTTCCATCATTGGAATATTTTTCCGAGGAATGTGGTTTGAAAATAGGGATTCTTCCCAGAAGATTTCTAACAGGCAAAAATCTCTTTTTTCTTAAGAAATCCCTAAACTCCTCCTTTCCTCCCTCCCCCATTTGCTCAATAAGTGGTAGCCCATCTGAGTACGTTTGTGCAAACATAGTAATAGTGCAGCAGGCAAACCCCAATTTAAATTCACATACTCGCCTGCTCCCCGCCCATTCACAGAAGTAGGCTGCATTCTGAGCAATAGCTCTCTGTGAATGCAATGTAGAACTGGGAAATCTGCCAGAATCAGATGGGCTAGGTGGCTTTGCTGTCTGGGATGAAGACTGGTAAGGCAGGAGGAGTGTAAAGGGTGTAAAGAGGACCCGGTTGGCAAAAGAAGAGGGGCATAGCAAGTGTGAGCTCCTCAGGGGGGACAGAGCGACAATGACAAAAGGTAGGTGACTGCCCCTTGCATTGCTCCATTTCACTGGCTCTACCCACTTGGATATCTTTTTAAAAAATCTGTGATTATTGATGGGCTCTTGGAAAGTAGGATGGAATGAAGATTTTCTTGGATTCTCCACGCCCAGGAATATAAACATCGTCCAACAAGATTGTCAGTAAGTGGACACTTACATTGCTGCAGCTAATCTCAATCCTGTGCATGCCATGGGAGAAGTCATCGATGCCGGTTATTGCTTCATGATCTACTATGTCAAAGAAAGATGGCCAACCTGCAGAATAATAAAATAAAAGATTAATGGACAGATTCTTATATCCCAGTTGATTCAATACTTGATAAAGGCTCAATTTATTCAATAATAATAAATAATAATAATTGATTCAATACTTGATAAAGGTTCAATTTATGCTCAACTGTTGTAGCTGAACAATTACATCACAAAGTACTCTATCTAGTAATAATCACGAAGATAGGTTTTACCAAAGAAAGCAACAGTCTGTCTTTTATTTTACTCCTATTTCTCCCCTCCTATCTTCTCTCTTGAAATCAGTCACTCATCCTGGGCTATAGGTGTACTCGCAGTAGCCACTCTCTCACTTTGCCATTGTTCATGCCTGTTCTTTCAAGCAAGTATTGCCATTTGACTAATGAGGTGTATCGCAGCGGAGGCTGATCTTGCCTAACAACCAACAGTGGGACCTATGGCCCATTTCCCTCCTCCTTTGCTTAAGACGTTGAGACCAACTATCCTGTGTGAAGGATACTAATATAAATGCAAATTTGTTGTTGCTGTAATAATAATGCCAAGGAAGCACATGCAACAAATATTCATATTAACAACATAGGTTTCTAAGATTCTTATAAATGAATATACCCACAAAATAAATTAGTGCCCAAGAATATGCATATATGCATATATGATCATTATATAAATAAAATTATATAAATAAAACAATAATAAATTTGAGATGTCTAGAAGACGTGAAAAGTGTTATATCAAATGCAAAGATTATTATTATTATTATCATCATCATCATCAGACTCTTTCACTCCCCAACCTCACCAGTTACAGGGCTGCACAAGCAATGACTGTATAATATACGTATAGAACATCATAAAACTGAAGGAAGAAAATAAGCAGAGAATTTATTTAAAATAAATTTAAAATATTTTTGCATCTCGTTTAATGGGTTTTAAATTATTATAATAGCAAATGTTGATAAAATAATAATCCTTAAACCTTACATGTCACGGACAATGCGACAGACTGAGCAAGAGACAAGAAACGGCTGAGGTTCACTTCAGGTGGCAGTGCCTTTCACGTTAGGATGACGTCTCAAAGTGCTTCACAGCATATACAGTTAAGTGGAGTGACTGTATGTTTGCTGGATCAGTAACTTTATTACAGTAACAATGTATTGCTGTTTAGTGCATTAGAATATGGAGAGGATACTGTACACCAGTCTAAAGTTTGAGATTCACTTGGATGATCATGGCAGTGGAAAGCTTTGCTTGAAGGAGACATTTGGCGTGGGTGCAAGTTCTCTATATCTGGAGGTGGTAAAAAATAGATGGCTTTAAGGAGAGCCACTTGCAAAACCATAGATATAATTGGATCGATTGCACATTGCATAATGATTTAAAGGACTGTAATGCAATCGTTTCTTATTCACAACATTTTCTATAATAAAAATGACACAAATTCAAAATTATGCAAAAGGACATGATTGATTAAAATAAGTAAAAAGAGACTAAACATAACTGAATAATTCTTAGTATAAATGGGCAGGCACATCTGTACTCACAGCTCCCCTTCACAAGCTGCAGATCATCCAAAACTCTGCAGCTCGTGTACTCTCACGCACCAGGCTCCGTGACCTCATCACTCCCACCCTTGCCCGACTCCCCTGGCTCCCCATCCCCCAGAGGATCATATTTAAGATCCTCGTCCTCACCTTCAAGACCATCCATGGCCTTGCCCCCTCCTACCTCTCTGACCTACTGACTCCCTACCAACCTGCCCGCTCCCTCCCTTCATTGGGCTCCGGCCTGCTCCATGCCTCCCGCCTTACCCGCCCTATCATCGGTGGCCGGGCTTTCAGCCTCTCTGCCCCCACACTCTGGAACTCCATCCCACGGTCCCTTCACCTCGCTTCATCCCTTGCCTCCTTCAAGGCCGGTCTCAAGGCCCTTCTCTTCGACCGTGCCTTTGGTCTCCCTCCCACCTCTCTGCCTTCCCCCACCCCTACACCACCCCTCCCCCATGCTCGGGGACCGACACCTGACTGTTCAGCGCTTTGGGACGTCCTCCCGACGTGAAAGGCGCTCTATAAATGTAATTTTGTTGATGTTGTTGAAGGTTGTCTACAGTACTCAAAAATTACTCAACTAATAGCGACGCAATTCCACTCACAAAAACATTGGGCTGAAAGAAAAGCCTCTAAATCAATGAGACATTAGCACACAAGCGATGAACTCAGATGAGAAGTTATTGGATGAGAGATTATCTTAACCCTTACCCTGCTGAGTAAATAGAACATACAACAGCAACAATTTACATTTATATATAGTGCCTTTCATGTTGGGAGCATTTTTCAATGTTCTTCATCAGCTGACTTGGGAGAGGGCAGAAGACAGGTGATCAAAAGTGCAATTAAAAGATAGGTCTTAAGATTGGTTTTAAAAGTGGGGAGGGAAGAAATTAGGTAGAGGGACTCCAGGCTGGAGTTTCGGAGAGCGTGGGCAGGTTGGCTGAAAGCTCGCCCACGGATGGTGCGACAGACTGGGCAGGAGACAAGAAACGGCTGAGGTTCACTAGAGGTGGTAGATTGCAGGAGGTCACAGAGGTAGCTAACAAGACGAAAGCTGTGAGAGTGTTTGAAGGGTTGAACCAGATTTGCCGCAACTGGATCTGTATCTGAAATAAAAATAATCCTTCCATTTGATATAGCGCTTTTCACGTCAGGAGGACATCCCAAAGCGCTTCACAGAACACACTGTAAAGTGAATTGACTGTATATTTGTGGGCGAACGCGGCAGCCAATTGTGCACAGCAATGTCCCACAAACAGTAGATTGAATAAGTAGATTGAAGTAGATAAGTAGATTGAAAATGACCAATTTATTATTTTTTTGGGTTTTTGGAGGGATTATTTATTAGGCGTGTGGAGTAAGGAAACTTGCCTTGTTTAAAAAAAATACACATTATAAACTGTTTCTAAATGTTCTGGAATTGATTGAACTTGGTTGAAAAATTACAACAACAACTTGCATTTATAGAGCACCCTTCATGCTGGATGGCGTCTCGGAGCGCTTAAATTACTTTAATCTGTACTATGGAGATGCATAATTATCATTGTTGGGGGGGTCTCTCCCCCATCAACAGTTTATAGAAACATAGGAATAGGAGTAGGCCATTCAGCCCCTCAAGCCTGTTCCACCATTCAATTAAATCATGGCTAATCTGTATCTCAACTCCAATTATCCACCTTTGCCCCATATCTCTTGAGTCCTCTACAAGCGCGCTTCATGTCTCCTGCCTGATTCTTCGCACTGTCCTCAAATTTCATTGCCATCGCGTTGACTATCCTAGTTCTCGTTACAACAAATTGACATTTATATAGCACCTTTCATGTTAGGAGGACCTCTCAAATTATTATTATATTATTATTATCTCACCAAGGCAGCCAGCCCTTGTGCCTCGTTGGTCCATTTTATAGGACATCATCAGTCAAAATCCTAATGCAACATCAATAACTAGTTTGCCAATTATAATAGTTAGGTGATAACTGCTGTACATTATGATAAAATCTAAATTACAACCACTCATGCAGTCTGTACTACCCACTGAATAAATATAGGTTAACAGATAGCTGGCAGTGACTTACAAAGCTGCAATTGAAATAGAGTCATTCAAATGTTCACGAATGTCAGAGAAAGCCTAGATTGAATTACAGCCTTAAAATCACTACCAGTGATTTGTTATTGTAAAGTATATGTATAGGATTGACTGGATTAGATCAAAAAGAAATCCCTAAACATTGGGATTGGTCATTTTTTGAGATGTACCATAATTCGACACAAACGCATTTTCATAGATAATGAAGATAATTTTTATGAAGACGGAAGTGAAACATTGAGAAAGAAATGAATTAAATGCATCTGGAGTCTTGAAATGATATGTAATGGAGGGACGAGGAGGGAGTTCAAAGCCGAGGAAAAGGAGCCTAATAACGCACACTTGTTCTATGTCAATGTAAATTTGTACTGTATCAAAACCTACTTTTAACACAATCTCCGACCCATGATCAAAGTCTTCGCTGTTTAGCATGAAGTATTTAGTTAGTTAATTCGGTAACCGTGAGTTACTATGGTTACAAATTGTTGCATATTAAACCTCCATAAGGAAAAACAACTTTGAGCTGCTGGGTATTAAAAACTTGGAAATCATGGAAGTTTCTTACTTTCATATTTATGACCATGAAGTTTGCGTACAGTGAAGAATAGTCAGGGTTAATGAAGTAATGGTGCGGTTTATGATTCCATAAAGCTTAGATTTTTTTCCCTCTCTTAGAAGCAGGCAGTCTCCCTTTTAATTCAGTGTAGAACATTATTTATTCAATACACCAGACATAATGGTCACTTTAAGGTTACAGGAAGCAAGTCTGCAAAATATTTCCTCTGAAACATCCCCTGTCAAACCTCTAAGGCCTACCACAGCATTTCTGCACCACATCAATAAATATGACAGGCTTAATGTTTTCAAAGTTTATTCAAATACAGTTCTATTAAATGGTTTCTGAGTTCATATTCTTTATCTATGTCCATCTTTATTGCACTGCTGTTGCCAATTTCATAAAGCATTAGTATAGTTTCCTTAGGCATTTATTTACACTACACTGTTAGCTGCACACACAACGCTCAGCTAATTTACTGTGTTTTATCTCAGATAAGTTGGGCATTTATTACAGCCAGACCTGCAGAAAGTATTTTCTCGTATGAGGCATGTGGACCACTGCAGAAGAAACATGAAGCAATCTTTTTGTTCTTTCCTCTGTCGTCCATCCACCCCCCACCCCCAACACACCACCCTTGAGAAAAACAACAGTGCCAATGCAGTGCAGTTCCTCTTACCCCAGAGAATCTTGTAGACAAGTGTAAATAGAGCGTTTCTGTTTATTTCTCCCTGTTTTTATTTATAATTTTTTCAGTGTATATCTCATTGGATGCAGTTATGTAATTTGCCTCGGGTTTCAGGATGGATCACTAAGAA